GTAGTGTGAGTCTGTGTAGTTTATTTATGGCCTCCCGTTGGATTTGACGTCATCTGAACAGGACATCTCACGCTCACTGCTTGATAGCGCGCGAAGTTCCGTTTACGCCGGTTGTTAAACAACATCGTTATGGGGAAATGCAAGTCTGCGTCCAAATGGTTGGAAGATAAGGAGGAAGGACAATCAATACTGTATATAGTCAATGTGAGGTAAAGTGTGTCCCCAAGGTAACCGGTTAAAACTCCAAGTGGCGATGAGGTCTTAAAATGTATGGAAAGGGTCTTAAAAAAGGTCTTAAAAGGAATTACATTTGACTTCAGGATTCCTGCATATACCCATAGAAATCTGAAGATACCCACGGCTAGAAGGTCATTAAAGCTTTATGTGCAAAATGTCTAAACAATTTATTTTCTATCCTCCCCTTTTAAAGTTAGATTGTGCTTGATAAATGAGTGAAATAGCTAAATACACTTCTATTTGATCAGATTGGAGATTTATTTGCCTCTCTTTGTAAATGGTTTGAGATGAGGTTTTAAACGAGGCTTCATGTGTAAAGTGAAAGTCAGAAAGGCAGATGATGAAACCACATGTGGACTAAATTTATCCTCCACAAACTGCTGTTAAACTGTGAGATAAAACACACCCTGATATTCAAGTTAAAGGTGATTTAACCGTAGTGAAACAGTACCTTTACACTATATATAGTTAAACCCTGATCTAGAGAGGGGTTTGGGGTCACAGAGAGCATCTATTTGGGCTTTATGAGTACAAGTAAATGACATGATTTCCATGGCATGTTATTGAAGATTTGGGCACTTTTATTTGAGGTGTCACCCAATATTGCTCCTTTTGACTGCAACACTGGGTGAGTAAGACAAAGTCGGGAAATGTGGTGACTTCACCCTCTGAAGGTATTGTGGGATGATGTCAGCGAGGGTGACTAACTGAGAGGAGAGGCTGGTGGATGGGAAACATTCGGAACATTTAACGTCATCTAACAAATACTGAAGGGTGCGAATAAAATCATTATGGAAGTGGATTTACTTGAAAGGCTTTGAAATGTCCTCCTACACAAAAATCCTTTAAAACGCAATAAGTTAATGGTAGATATGCATTATTTTGAAGCATTTAAAGGGGACCTATCATGCAAAATGCACTTTTTTATGTCTTTTATACATATATATGTGTCCACGGTGTGTCGGGGAACTCGCGTCAGAAAATAAAACCCTCTGTCTTTTCCTCCGTACCCAAATCTCTAAAAACGGGGGAACAACGGAGCTGATCCAGATTTGCGTCCGATATGACGTAATATCTGAAATGTGGACCCACGGCCCAATCAGAAACGTTGCTATCAGAAACAATGCCCGACTGTTTTGGACGTAATATGGTCGGTGTTTACATTAGCATCGCTAACACTCAGAGCTAACCTGTACTGGAGAGCATGTGTGTGAAGAAGCAGGAAGTAAAAAGGAACTCACCTTGTGGTATAACCGGCAAGAGAGAAAGCCTTTGAGCTCCATACTGTTTCAGAGATAATCCTTGATAATCCATGATATGGCGTTTCATCACGGCAGTATTTAGTTTAGACAGTAGCTGCCGGGTCCCGCATGAGCTCAGTCCCCTCCTTCTTTATTTGTTAAAGCTTTATACCCCAAATCAGCACTTTTGAAACAGGAAGTGAAATAGAGGGATATGAGGCATGGCTAGAATGGGTGATCTGTTTGGTATTTAGAGCAAAACACTTCATAGACATGTATTTTATATATTTGTATATCTGAGACCTATGCTATTGCCTATAAATAGCATGATAGGTGACCTTTAATGACTAAAAATTAATTTATGTTATTGCTTTTTTTATGAATTCACATGTAGATGGGACAATGACGCGGTATTAGAAAAAAAACTGTATATTCTGTGATGTTATTTATGGAATTAGCTTCTAAATGACATGTTTTGTCTCCACAGGGGAATGTGGAGTATCTGTTGAAGTGGAAAGGATGGCCTCCAAAGTAAGTTACACGTTCAAAACTAATGAGAGAGTTGGAAATGTGTTTTTTATTCACATACAAATACAATGGCTGCATAACAAATATGGAAAATGTCAAACATACTGTATTTATGGAGTTGTTTGATACTTCTTGCAGGTACAGCACATGGGAACCAGAGGAACATATTCTGGATCAGCACTTAGTGAAGGCCTACGAGGAGAAGTAAGGCTCCAAAACACAAGTCTTCATTTCATTGTTTATTTTAAATGGCTAACAACAATAACAGTAAACGTATAAGCAGTGGCGATCCTAGAGTCGGTGGGGGCCCTAGGCAAACATTCACTGGGGGCCCCTCGAACCAGCTTTTCACCACCACGCATAGCCGACAGCCCCTCGATAAAATAATGAAGTGATTTTCATTCTTATTTATGTAGTTGTTTATATATATTTATTTATTATTATTATTATTATTTGTTTGTATTATTTATATATATATATATTGGGTTTTTTAGAGAGCAGAAGGAGAAACAATTGGGACACAGGAGGAAAGGACCCAAAGCCAAAAGACTCTTTCTGCAGGTAGAAATCTGATTTAAAGGTCTCCTCTTCTTCATGTCTCTTCTACATCAACATGTGTCCCCTCTTCTTCATGTCTCTTCTACATCAACATGTGTCCCCTCTTCTTCATGTCTCTTCTACATCAACATGTGTCCCCTCTGTGGAAAGAGACTCTGAAAGTTTCAGGAACAAAGATTCTCTCTCTTTTTGTCCTGATCC